CCCCAAAACCCCAAAACCCCAAAACCCCAAAACCCCAAAACCCCAATTGGGGAAACAACATTGACTTTTAGAGTTATAATTATTTCAAATAAATATTTATTAAAAAAATTGGTCATGAAAACTGAGAATTAGGTGGCGAACGAGCTATACATCAAGTACGGATACAAAATTGTAGCGCTGGATCAATAAATGAGATAAAACTAGGAATAGGATATAACTTTATTACTAAAGCTTAATCTTAACCTTGCTCAATGCATTCTGTTTGAAGATTTCCTTGGCTTCAATATTATCAATTCCTCAGGATCCAATATCCATTTCTTTAAGACTCTTTATCAAATCTGGAGATGACCCTATTCCTTTGACCAAATTAATGAATTCGTCAAAATTATTCTTCCAATCACTCATATGTTTATCTCCTGAGTTAAAAAAGCTTAACCTGGCGATCTTGGAGTTCTTCATAGAGTTCGATAAGTCAGGAGGAGTTAGGATAGAAAGCTTGCAAGAATTAAAATTTAGCCACTTCACATGTCTGAAAGATGCAATCAACCTCTTGAACTGAGGATTATTAAGCACTAAATTGGTAAATTCAGCCTCCTTCAAAGCTAATGAGCTGAGACTTGTTATTGACTTAAAATGCTTGAAGTTATTGATTTTCTGAGGAGTCATCGAAGCAATTCGAAGAGAATTTACTTTATCCGAGAAAGAATATTCCAGAAATCTAAAAATATGCTTGTTCTTAGGTTTGATGTTTCACAAATGAATCGTTTTGGCATCGAAGAATTTGAGAGGGTACAGTTTCTTCGAATATTCTAGATAACGAGTAACATTGAACCAGAAATAAAATTCCAATTTTTCTGATTTATTTTTAGAGTTAGAGTCCAATGGTTTGATCTTTATTTCATCTGAAAAAATGTTAAAATAAAGTTCTCTGCATCGATTGTAGTCATCCGCTCTATTCTCTGCTCGGATTGAACTCTCAAGTCTATACCACACAAACACTTCACATGAACCCCTATTATTAACAATCTTCCCCTCACTTGCCAAAACCCACACTCCACCCCCAATATCCTACCCAGCACCCCTATCCCCCAAATCCCCCTCCCCTGCTCCCCCAATCTCCCCTACAACCCCTCTCCTTACTGTGTCCACTTATGCTGCCGCTCAGCCCCCTTCTCAGTCGGTTCCATCGTTCCTGGCTTTTATAATATTATTAAGAACTTAGTGCAGAAGGGGTTTTGGGGTTTTGGGGTTTTGGGG